TTTTTGTTTTTTCCCCCCCCCCCCCCCGAAAAAAAAGTCTGTAACAAAAGTTGCAGGTCTCCATAAAATTCAAAGGTCATGTTTTGTAGAAAATTAACAGAAATACTGATAATTTATACAAAGTGGCCAATGTAAAACAATAACTATTAAAAATGCTCCATAAACTGGTCCAATTTCTACCATCACCTTGCCATTTCGAAACCAAGGCTTCCTATTTCCGCATACATGTGGACACTAGGTTGGCCTAGGAATTTTAATAACGACTCTAAATGCGCGTTTTTCCATTGTTCATTTACAGGGAACAGAATGGGGTTTGTCTTAAAAAAGAGTCTACGCATCCATAAATAAATTAAAGAATATGTTCTCGGAATTATTATCCTTGCTATGAAAGAAGATGGAACTACATGCGTTAGTAACTTAATTAAGCTGAGCTGAGCGCTAGACTGATACTTACACACACCATTAAAAAAAAGATTTCGAATGTCAACAAGTTTTGAGGAAAATGTGTCTATTAGCGTAATACATTTAGTAGCAAGGACACAATCAGTTTAAGATGACGTGCTAAATATATTTAACGTGGGGTTCAATTGCTTGCATAAATAAGTGTAATTAGCTTTTATACTTGTATTATTAGCATGCAATGCATAGTAATTTATAAAATGTTAATGCCGATTTCAGACAAATAGCTTTTGTTTCGAAATGATTTCGCAGAATTCGCTTATACGATGCAGGCAGTTTGAATATGAAACCACAAAATTTTGTTGTTATTCTGTTCACATTTATGAAGCGTTATTGGAACAATGTTCTTAGTTATGACAGAAGATAAAATAATTGTAACAGCTCGTGTTGTGCGTTTGTCCTTTATAAAATTTTCATGCAATAACTGTGCGGAGCGGAATGTAATTTGTTAAACTGCTTGTTTTGTGCATCAAAGTACGAGATTTGCTGCTACTGACTTTGCATGGGCGGTCTGGATCTTACACACATGGCGGTATAATTTTATTGTGCATTTACGTCTGGTTCTGAAGGTTGAATGATAGCAGAGAGATAAAAATATCTGTACCTTTAAGAGCATAATGAGGAGCTTTATAATTTGTTCTCTTGGCCACTTGTTATTATGGTGATAAAATTGAAGAATACAAAATACGCGAACATGTAGCACACGTGGAAGAGAGACAATAAATGCGTACTAAATTTTAGTGGTAAATGTGAAAGGAAGGGATCACTGTGTAATTCCTAGGTGTTGATGGGATGATTTTTCTTAAAATTTATCTTAGATAAACATAATGTGATAATGTGGGCTGGATTCATCTGAGTGTAGATAACAGTAGCATTATCTTTTAGCCACGGTAATGAATCATAAGGTTAAGTAAAAGGCGGGAAATTTTATGAATAACTGAGCGACTATTAGCTTTTAAAAGAGGATTCTGCTTCAAGCAGATAGTTAAAAATATGGCAAAGGTAATATTTTCCCTGAGTGATTTGCGACATCTGACATTTCCAAATGCAGTTTGTGTCGTAAAATACGTGACTTCTTAACCCTCGGATATAATTTTGCTTTGTTTCTATCTTTTATAGGAAAATCAGACTCTAGCCTTTGCTGAGTTCGAAAAGGAACAGTGGCAGCAATATTTCAGTAACGTTACCTGGGAAGATTTCGAGGATGAGACAGTGAAAAGGCAACTCAGAACTTTGTCGGTGCTGGGTGTATCGGCGCTAGACAATGCAGAGCTGAGCGAGGTAAGTCCTCTCAGCACCTGCTTATTGTCTTTTATCGAACTGAAACCTGATCGATTTCTCGAGAGAAGTGACGTGTTCAAATTAACAGAAAATAATTATACAAAACATATTAAGCTCTTTAAAGCACAGTATTTACTAGGCAAAGTACTCAATGGAATAATAGAAAAATAAGCCAAGAGATTAATTCTGTTTTCCCCCCCCCCCCCCACAAAAAAGAGAATAACTTGAAAGTACAGATCTGTTTACCAGAATCTTCATGCACAAGGTCTGAATTACTGTCCGATTGGGAAAAGAACCCACCATCATCGTGGATGTTTCAAGACGCCGGGATGCTTTACCACAGACCTTCGGCTGTACCATTTCTTTTGTGTCTGTAACGCTTGTTTTAGGGTTATGTACATTAGCTTTATCTAAAAATGCAAGAATCATTCCACTACCTATGTTCTACTA